GTATGGAGACGGTAACGTCACGATCTTCTTCAGTACGCAAATTGACAATATCCATCCAACAAAGAGTGGACTAGGAGGTATGAATCTTTTGATAACTACAGTTCACTGAGACCGTTAAAGCATTTTAAACAGTTCTTACTTTGATCATGTGTATCATTTCTTTTGCGCTAGAATCAACACAGGTGAATATATATTACAAACATTGCTTGGAAACAGTTCATAACCTGAAAATATAATCGACACAATTGTATTGATTAATATGTATATGCTTATTGTATCGATTGTATACATTTTATATCTATGTACTGTAAAGCGCTTGAAAGTGGCTTAGGTTAGCTAGATAGGGCGCTTTATCAACTGTTGTATATTTTTATTATTATCACAGATACCTGGTCAACGGACGTGTCTAAATGTCTTATACTTATATCAAAAATCAGATCAAATGGAGGTTACTGTATATACGAAATTTACATGTTAATAGTTCATAAAACGTTGTGAACCTGTAGACCCTGTCTAAACAAGATACCAGAAAATATTCAAAACAATATTTGTAAAATAACAAAGCCAAATTTCTCAATCCATGTTCCAGGTTCGGTGAATCTTTCTATCACTGGTAGAGGGTTCAGTGGGAATTCCAATGTGACAGTCGGATCCAAGACATGTGATATATTGTCTGTTACCACAGCCATAATCGTCTGTCTACTACCACTAACAGTAATGTTCTACTTTATATTATTTACCTGACAATACGCCTAGTGAAGCGTTCGACTGAATTTACATTATCGAGTGCAGTTATTCTCAATGTAAATATACTGTTTTATTGTGCGCGTTAAAGAATGTTATCGCAAGTGTGTTGGTAGGCGGCTAGTGTTTGATTGCGCGTTTTTGAAAATTTGTTACAGCATTCTGCGGTGTATTAGATCCTCATGTTATACATATGTATGAAAACATTATAAACCTCATGCAAGTATTTCAATATCTAAAAAGTTTAGATTGTTGCAGAAAGAATACTTAAGCTCGTTTACAAAATAAGTTGCAATGTTTTAAGTCATTTGCCAGTAGTTTGTTTTCAGATGCAAATTTACTTTTACATTTCTTTTTATGAACACATTGTTATACCTGCTTTAGAGTGTTGCAGAAGTGGGGTCGGTGACAGTACAGCAGAATGGTGTATTGTCAGTAATGGCAGATACGCAGTTCTCTTACAACGAGTCGGTGACACCTAGAGTGACAAGCATATCACCAAAATCAACAAGGGTAATAGGTAAGATAACAAGCTGTCAAATGAAACATACATGTTATTGTAGGGATGGAAATTCATTCACAGAAACATGGATGGTAGACTTGATAACGCCCTTTATGCTGACACTGTGTATAAATTGAGGGGGTGTTATATAAATAAGTTTAATATCATTGTAACTTATATATAAAACAACGTAAATATTTTTTCCCATTCCTCCTTCCAAACATAGGATTTGATCATAACACATACCATTCTGCAAACATGCTTTCATATGATAGAAGTCTGTACATTTTCTGTGTAGCTATGTTAAATTTAATCGCAAGACGTGTATGCTAACTATGCCCTTATTAACTTCGAAGTACATGCCATGATATTACGCACAACAATAAATGAAGAAATACACATCATGCACCTCAATTGTAAATTAAGCCTCACTTGACATAGAATGCCTGTAAACTGCGTCGTCAGTCGTCTATCAACTTTACTTTGAACAGCTGCCTTTTTTATACGTTAAATAATTAGGGTACTGATGTTTTGACCACAGGTATGACAAGGACTGGGAGAGGTATCGTATTTCCTCTTATAACCGTGATATACTTTCAGATTCACAGGTGTGAATTATTTAAAAAAAAAAAAAAAGCAACGTGTTCAAAAGAATCATAAGATCGATGTACATGATGCATTGATATGTCATGTATGCCAGTAGTGCAAAGTCTTTATTCTAAAAAAAAAGGAAATGATTGGGAGCCCAATTTAATAGTACATAACATCATGCATATTAAAGGACACGAAGAAAGAACACAGGCGTGCTAAGAGGATTGACTCAAAGATCAAGCTCGGCTGACAAAAAATGAAATACAAACCCTAGCTTAAACACATGCATTCAGCTCTTGACCAGTTTGGCTATAAAGCATCAGTGAGTTAAGGTTTTAATCCTTACATTCATGATTATACTACTTGCATATCCAGACAAGCGATACATGTACTTGATTGCCTGTTTCATTTATTATTTGACTGTGTATTGTTGACAGGTGGAGATAAACTTATTGTAATTGGTGATGGATTTGAGGCAAATGGCACTGTGACGTTACTGGTTGGTCTAGCGGAAATCAACATTACATTCTATAACAACAGCTATTTAAGGGCAGATTTACCTCCCTGCTCTTCAGGAAGTCATCCCGTGAAAATTATTGTTGGAGAGAACGGTGCAGCCCTTACCACGTACGCGAATATTTCGGAAATCATGATATTTGTTACTTATATGCCTTTAACCTGTGTGCCATACTAATATAACTGTAGAATAGAGTCTGTGTTCAGGATGATACTTTGTGGTTCATGCTGAAGCTAATATTTAATATCGATATTTTGCATTTATGATTAGCTGTCAAGTTTTAATACATTTTGGTGCGTGCTTGTTAATGAAAATCACACTAAATGTTCATGAAAATGACAAGGGCAATGTAATTACATGTAAGACAAAGGTTTTCAAGAACTGCATCTACAATATTTCAGCTGGTGAACCACTTATATCATTGATTATGGAGAAAAACCTTTCAATTCCAGTTCAAACGAACTACCCACCATCACATGTACTCTTGAAGTGACCAGTGTCAATCCTCTCAGCGGTTCTTTATTCGGTGGTACCCAACTTACTGTGACGGGAAGCGGATTTACCCCCGATGTCAAAGTTAGGGTCGGAACGCATGAATGTGATGTCACATCCGCGAATGATGATCAGATTATTTGCTTAATCGCCAGAACACGAAATGTTCATAGAGTGAACAACCTCGGGAACCATCCAGGTATATGTCTTTATTTGAAACCTTTTTTTACTTTGCATGAATGATGATTGATATTTGTTCATTTTGTTTTTCCAATCGCTTAGCACAGGGAAAATGAAAAGCAGTCACCATGATTGCATAATGCACGATATCAATGCCATGATAACAATTATGCCTAAATTGTGTTCAAAGTTGTTGCTGACCCGGATGCGTTCAAAGAAGTGCCGCCAAACATGGAATTAATCGTATGTTCTCCCCAACTGATAAGTTTTGTTTTTCTATTGTCGCTCAGTGNCAGACCTGGAGGGTTTTCTAGTGGTGTTGGCACATCTTCAGGTATTTGCAAGTTTTTAATGTAGTTGCTTGCATCTTCTAATATCCTTGTCGATCTTAGCACCCAGCTATTATTTCTTAACATGGAGACAATATAATACATAGGGTAGTCACTGGTATTTAAATAATTGATTAGGAGTCAGATACACCAACACACCATCTTCAGCATTAGATGACTTCTTAAAATAACACGCAAACATACATCAATGTGTTTTAGTGAGGTAGCTATCAACATCAGATCCGCGCAATCACAAGAGGCAAATACATCAACATGCATTGTTTCCAGCACACACACACACGCACTCACGCATACACAACATACAGGGAGGCACGTCTTTAAATGACCGTTGTGTGTGTTAATGTGTTAATAGGACATTTAACCAGATATAACCAAACCAGCCCAACTGTTACAATACCCTGCTTTGTGGCATATCTAGTCGTCTATATTCGTTGCACTGGTATTCTGTACGATACCGGTCGCAGTACAAAATGTTGGTGTTTACATACAAGGGGCTTAATTGATAAGCTCCCCAGTACCTACATGAGTTTGTTATCCTGTATCAGCCGTCTCGATCACTGCGGTCGGAGACCGAATCATTGTTCCGTGTCCAAAAATCTCGTACCGTGACCTATGGAAATCGGTTCTTTGGGAGGGTTTCGGCCGTGGAATATCATACCATCTGCTATTAGAAAACAGCCGAAAACCCTGGTCAAATTCAAGAAGGATATAAAGACCAACCTCTACATTTTTAACCCTTTGCACACCACCGTTTTCCTATTCATTCACATTAAGACACTTTTCTTCCCACTTAATGTAAAAGGGTGTATCATTTATAACTAATATCATAATTCATATGTTGTAAAGCCTTTTAGAGTAATTTTGCAAATTATAAAGGGCGCTATATAAAAGTTGTATATTATTATTATAATTAACAGGATCGTATGCCCGTGAGTTCAGTAAAACTGGCAAGTTTTACTACTGGAGTGGAATAATTGATCCGTACAGTACCACGTGGTTCCATGGATCTGTAGAAGTGGTAGATCGAACATCCTTCGTGGCTGATGTCACTGTATCATTAGGAGATTTTGAAGCAACTTACAACATAACGACTACTGGGCAGACTCCCTCAACACCAGGTTTGTTAACATGACGTTTGATATTAATTCATGTACGGACAGTCATAATCTAATTGGGCAAAACTGATTGGGATAGAATGGTGTTGCATTCAGACTCTCGTATATCACCCACATTTAATATCGTTTGATAATTGGACTCGAAATTAGAATTCAGAGTTCAAACGTGTTTTAAACATCCTATCATTGCAAAGTAACATCGATCACAGACACTGTTTCAAAAGTGTAGGCGACGTAAATTCCATGTGTCCCTTGACCTAAAGTGTTATGATTACGTCTTGTGTTATATTGTCCCTGCTGTAGCTAAATTCGTTATTGTCCTACCATATTGTTATATCAGGATAAATGCACGGGCCAGGGGATATAATCTGATGGATGAAACTAGGGGTAAATAAGTTTAACATGAGTTGACGGAAGAACGATGTCAAGCAATTACGCTTCCAACATATCCATAAAGTTATTTCCCAAATGGATGTGTTATCGACACATTTGTATATGAGGTTTGTATTTGACCATCTTTATTATAGCTTATACAATTTATTAATACAGATAACACGACATGCATCAATCCAACTGATTCCAGAAATAACTGTTCTGACCATTTCCCAGTTCAATCAACAAATAGTTCAAAGATTCCATTCGCATTCTGGACATGCAGAACACCAGTAATCGAAGCAGTAAGTCGACAGAACGGTACTACTAATGACGAAATACTTATATCTGGTGATGGTTTTTCTGGTATAAGCTGCGCGAATGAGGTAACATTTGGAGATTATCTATGTGAGTCTTCCTCGAGTTCAGTGTCCTTTCTGATTTGTAATATTACTGTTAAGAATACACCACGGGTTGGTCGACCACAGTATCTTGATCTTCTGGTAAACGGTCAAGGTTATGCTCAAGTGAACTTGCATTCAGACCTTCTGAAAACGTTTACATTGCTTCCACTGGTAAGATTCCTTTCCCCAACAAATGGATCCCGAGGTGGTCACACACGACTTACAATATCAGGAACCGGATTTGAGGATGGGAACCTCAGCATCATGACTGAAGTTACCGTCGGTGGTTATCCATGTGGTATAGTATCGATTTCGTATATGCAGATCGTCTGTTTAACACCGAGTTCCACAAGTATTGGACACCGCGAAGTGATCGTCTTTATCCAAACCGCCAGCAACACGCGCATTCCTGCAAACTGTGATGAAACATGTCAATTTGTGTACGATGACCTGGTGACCCCAACAGTAACTGATATCAGCCCCAACAACATAACAGGTGAAAACACAACCTTGGTCACTATTGTTGGTACAGGTTTTGGAGATAAAACGCATAATGTACACGTGAGCATGACGTCATTAGAGGAACATGATTGTCTAGTGATAAATGTGTCGGATTCTGAAATTATTTGCTCCTTGACTAATCTACCTTTAGGTCTTAATCAAGCTGTGGTCGATATATCTGATAAAGGACGGGCGTTATATACCAATGGTGATGCTATTCTGACAAGTTTACCAACAGTATCAGCAATTCTGCCAAAAGAGGGAAGCATATATGGAGGAACTTACGTCACAGTTGCTGGAAATGGATTTTCTTCAGACGTAACTGTTCAAGTAGGTGGGAAATCGTGCGAGGTTAAAAACACAACATTAAAATCACTGATATTCAAAACTCCTGCCAACTTATACGGAGTGAATTCTGTGACTATACAGGCTAACGGTGTCACTTTTCCCGGACAAACATTCAACTTCACTGACAATGTTTCTCCAGAAATATTTGCTGTCAATCCGTCTTCAGGAACGAGTGGAGAGAACATCACCATCACCGGCTACAATCTTGGAAATACATTAAATCAGACAAGCGTTTTTGTAGGGGAAAGTGAATGTCGTACAACTACTGTCAAAGATACGGAGATCAAATGCACTGTGGGTAGTAACCGTGCTGGGACATACAACATTCACGTGAATGTGCACGGTGTTGGATACTCTAATGATGATACCACGTTTACCTTTAACATGACCGCAAGGTCGATTTCACCAAATTCAGGTAAGCGAAACTACCATATATTTATGATGTAAAACCATGCTCTTTAATGAAAAGCGTAGTTCGAATTCTACTGAATTATACATGTGAGACAAAAATATGGACCGGTCTTTTTTGCTTGTCATTTTACAACCCTAAATTATTTCGCGTTCATTCTTTGAGAAATGTCACAGAACTCGTGCGTTTGGTCAATATATTTGTCGACAAATTAATGCCACATCGCTCATGTGCATCCCTTCTTGACTTAGTCAAAACAAGTTGATCACCATTGCCACGAATAAACTGTTGAGTTAGTTATGCCAGAACGGACATTGATAACCGGTTCTGGTATATACATGTACCCATATCAGTAATTTTGCAAATACAGATGTTTTCGTGTTATTTTCAGGCAGTTTAGCTGGAGACCAGACAGTCACGCTATTCGGTACGGGATTTGACGACGGAATGGTTGTTACTATCTGTGGTGATATTTGTTACATGTCAACGGGATTTACAACAGATTCAGCGCAATATCTGTGTAGAACGCCACATTCTTTAGGTAGTGTAAAACGTAGTATAATTTGACGAATAATACATTTACAGTGTAAAGCAAATTACATATGGTGACTGACTTGACATTTTAAACAGCATTTTGTAATGCACTTGTATCATGATGAAACATGAAGGACGTTTCTATATTCAATCAATAATTTCTTTTGTTATTTTGAAAATGATGATTCTAAAGATGAAAAACCTTAAAAAAAAACAATAAAAAAACCGTTTGATCGAAAATACATATTTTTTAAAATTGTTTTAATAGGCTCTTCTAAGAATTGTACCGTCGAAGTTTCCGTCAATGGCCTTGTTGAAACTCTTTTGGATGCTTACACATATGATGATGCTTCTACCCCGGTTATTAATGACGTAACTCCTAAACGCTGAGGTACCGCAGGGGGGAACCCGCATCACAATAATAGGATCAAACTTTGGGTATGAATATTATCTTTGTTTCTCTATTCACATAACAACTGGTAAGTTTGTTGTTTATCTATTATTCATACAGTTAATTGAAAAGTTCATATCAATTTATGGCGTTTAGTCAACTAGGAAAACTACATGTCACTGTATTGTTTCATAGTATATGCAACGCTATTAGCTACGCCGTCTTTATATATTTCGAAAAGACTGACCGAAGGATTTTGTTCTCGCAGGTCGACACATGTTGCAACGTCTGGCTGCACGTCTTCAGTGACGATTGCTGGAACTTTGTGTAACATCACGTCCTGGACAAACACACAGGTAGTGTGTGTAACAGAGGCTCATTCGAGGTCGGAGAGGGCTGTTGTCAGACTGGAGTCAGGCTGTAATGGAAAGGCAAACGAGGTACTGAGAGCTAATGAGCTATTTATGTTGAAAGTTCAGGAGCTAGGGAATTGTGGTATGGTACAGCGCCAATCGTCCTTTCGGTTTTTTTTTTGTAACGGCTCTTTTAAAACTGAAACATCTTGTCAGAAGTTTCTTGTACAGAGTATACCGATCGGTATGTGAAATAATTCAAAGAATGGTAAAGTCTAGACCTGCGATACCTGTGTTATATTGAGTAGTACAGCAATGTTTAGTATTTCCAAAATGTATTATATTCAGGTCAACGTTGATCGCTGGCCGATATCAATGGTCAACAGGGCTATACGTTGTTAATATCAATAACTAGCTTATATCCCGTTATATCTTCTGCTGAATATCCCAGATGACAATGGTCATGTCAAATTCGTGAAAACTTTTGTAAAACTCATTATTATAAGAGAGTATTACAATGATATTTATTTGCCTACAGTACGTCGGGGTCAATACTATTGACGCCCTATCAAGTAAAACATGTCCAACTATTTATTCACGTTCTTTTGTTTCCCAAAAGAGAACTGAGCTTGATCTTTTTCCATTGTCATATTGGTCAAAATGTGAATATGGACACCTCGGGTCATGACATGATAATAACCACTTACATACTTTAATAAAGGCCAAATAATATGTTCAAATAAAATACACTAATCCAGTTTCAATGCCACAGCGATTAAAACGTTTTAAGCCTTTATGTAATTTCCTACAAATTTGAAACTTTCGTGAACGGTATTTTGCCTGTACTATGCTCGGTGTAGTGCGATAATCATCCTATCATCTTTAATCGCCTGTCTCCTTACCGTCTTTTACAAAGATAAAAAATGGCAAATTTGTTAAACTATCAAATCTTTTTGTGTCAGTTCGCTTGCTATCGATTGTGTACAAACATTCACATATACATGTGCCCAAAACAGCGAGATCAGGATTGCACTCTATTTATATCAAAATCGAAATGAAGATGAGTTGATTGTATATTCGAAAGAATCCGTTGAAATTATTTTGTGCATTGCTGTTAGCTAAACAGGGATATTTATAAAGCAGTTTCTTTTTCAAAGATAAGTGTTGTGACATGTTTTTGCCAACAGTTATACTGATTATTGTATTCATAACTATTGAAGATAAATGCGGGATTCCACTTCGTGGACGTGTGGTCATCTGCGTACACATGGGGAGGTACTGATCTTGGTCTGCCCACGGCCGGAGACATCGTGGTCATTCAAAATGGTCAGACCATTCTACTCGATACAGATACACCGGTCCTCAAAATGCTCCTCATACAAGGCAAGATATACCTTTTCGTTATTATATATAAACCCGGTGAATGATATTTTGTTTTCAGTAGTAATATGATTATTTTAATAAGATATTGATAGATGATTATGTCAATATTCAACAGTCAGACCATATTATCGGATTCTTGTCTAGCGATAACGTACAATTGGAATACGTGCCCACGATATCAGAATGATAATCTTTAGCACCATTTATTAATTTCAGGCGGGGAACTTGTTTTTGATGAAGAGGACGTGGAACTGCAGGCTGAAAACATATTGATAACAGATGGAGGTTTGCTGCAGGTAATGGTATATATACATGTATAAATTTAAAAGATTTAAACTTACAGAGAAAGGATAGAAATTGTTTATATTTTAGCACGTTTCATCACTCTTAAATTATCTTATAAAAAACACAAATTTTACAAGACTAGTGTTGTTCAAAGTACGAGTACTTCTGAAAAACAAGTACTAAAAGAAAGACACTTTTCAGGAGTCGATTTTCCGTTTTTGCACTTTAACAATATTTTTATTTTAGACTTATAATACTCATTAACGTAGAACATCAGTGCCATGCTAAGTGAGATAGATCAAAGTTAAAGAAGTTCTTAATGTAGCCTTATCGTCTACATATAAGAAACAAGTTCCAGGCGAAAAAAGATATTATGACTTTTAATTTTTGTATTCGATAAAGGTTGGTACAGAGGCTGTACCATTCCAACACAAGGCAGTAATAACATTACATGGACATGTTAGATCCAAAGAGTTGCCGATATATGGAACAAAGTCACTGATTGTCCGAGAAGGAACACTAGACTTGCATGGTAAGTATTCAGCTACAGGTTGTCAAGAACCGATTCCAGTAACGCATTTTAATCCAACCGTGCACTTTATCAGAAACAACTCAGTGTTGTTACCAATGTATTAAAGGTTCAAGGGATATAGGAATCAACCTGTACGTATGTTTGTTATACTCTTTGTCATCGCTCTAGCGACTTCATTGCTGAACGGAATTTCATGTCATCGCTCCATTCCTCAATGAATTTCATGAATCTGCATACAAGTGTTTGGCATGGCAATCACTTGAATAGTTTATCGTTTTGGGTTTCTGCGTTGAAGGTCAAGGTCGCCGTTACTTAAAAAAAAAACACTTTGTCATCGCTTTAACGACTTCAATTCCTCTTATATATGTCACATTGTGTGAATGCGAGGGGATTTGTATCACTTTTGATGCCTTGTTTTACTACCTTTGCCGTCCAGAAGCTTTGTTTTAAATTGGCGATTAATTGTTTCATGTTTGTAGTAATTAATTTATGAAATATAATTTCCTCTGTATACGAATAATAATTTATATTACCTGTAACTGAGCGATATCGGGTTATCTCAATCGAGGGCTAATATTTTATAACATAATCCAAACCGAGGCGTAAGCCGAAGTTGGGATGTTACATAGTCTTAGCCCGATAATTAGATAAACCGATCTGGCTCGTTTACAGGAAGTATATTTATTTTAGTTCGAACAAAATATTCAATTTTTCTAAAGTCTAAACGTATCCCGTCTGGGGCCTCAACTAAATATGGCCTCTACTCTAAGCTACATTTGAATACTGCCGCGAAAAAATGTTGTCGGTCCTTACAAAGGAGACAAGGTATTTCACAGAGTAGATTATATTCTATCTAAAACATCGGATATCTAATAACATTATATACATACATGTATAACGACAACACATATAATGTATAATCCAGATTGTCAATTTCATGCCTTTCACTCGCAGATGAATACGTCGCTGTGTGAAAAATCCTCAAAATGTCACGAAAAGGGTATTAGACAGATCGGATCAGATCAAAAATCTAGCATAGGTATGACGAGGGATATCTCTGTCTAAGCTGCGAGAATACATTATCTTGCTTTCGGTTGTAATGTCCTTCCAAGCTGGTAAGAGACACAAGAAAACCCAATTCTGCAGGGGTCCACATAAGCCGTCCCTTAAGATAGCATGCAGAGGTGATAAAGTATATATGTACATCTATTAACCATATATTATATATAATATATGTGGACATTTTACATGGCGACTAAAGTAAAACAGAGCCCCCAGGCATTTTTTTAAACCCTTATATTGATTTACATGAATGTATAATTAAAACGTGATTCTGATCAGGAACTAAATTGTTCTTATTCCTGACTACCCGTTTTCAGTATATTGTAACCTTGTTAATACTGTGTTAAGTGCCTTCTGCATGGCATTTAAGACAGATTGCACTGTAAAGTCAGCACACATAAACATGCACGCCTTCACAACAGACAGGGACGTAGATGCCGTTAGCTGTTGATTGGACGTTAAACCCTATAAAACAAACAAATAAACAAACAGTTCAGTACCTTGTCAGCTGACATGAAGAAATGTTACATAATTTAAATATAGTGACATTTGTGATGATTGCTCTCTACATGACTCTACCAATATGAAAACAACTGCCATAAGATCATGGATACACTATGAATACGACGAGTACTGTGCAACTAATCAGCTGATTACACACAATGACCACTTCTATTACAACGCGTTGTACCGTTTCTTAAAAGATTTATCTTCCCCTCTCCGAGATAACGTAGCTACGAGAAATACTAATAAACATTACATAATTATTTATAACATTGTCGTATCAAATACTGACTTACGACTCGCAATCAGTTCCTCGTGTCACGAAATTTTAACACCCGAATGTCCGGCTGATCGTCAGTATTATGTTACAGGCAATTCAACCACCAACTTATCATCATTTACATCGGCAGGTTTTCTGGCAATCAGCTCTTTCAACGGATGTACATTTAACATCAAATGAGCTATGTCGGCCGACAAGTGTCACTGAGAATCACTTAAGAACAAAAAAATCAATTCTACGACTTAATCTACCTTATTNTCCTGGAGGTTACTATGGTGACCGATGTTTTGAAAAAGTGCGGACATTAACTTTTTCAAAGATAAAATATGCGTTGTATAATGCAAACAACATCAAATACGATCAACTTTCAAAAATTAAAGTAACATCAAGCTTTTATTAGATTCTAGATAAATAATTTCGTTTCAACAAAATCATCTGATCGGCGGAAGTCGCACTTTTGAAGTTTGTGTGTAGGCTGGAGTTCCGGACTTTTTTCTTGTACACTGCGGGAATGAATAACAGTAGTTGCTGCTATTCGCTGCAGCAATGTACTTGACAAAAATCCATATAATCCCTCCGTGACTAATTTGTGTCATTTCATACTCTCTGTTAAGGCAATCTACTTTATTTTCTTTTTTCACTTACAATACCGGCGTCAATATTAATAACCTTATGACAAAGAGGCAGTTATAAGAAAAATGTCAATTACTCGGTTTTGATGAATAATATGAGCTCATACTCACGACAAATCCTAGTTCGATTATAACTAAATGTCTCTCCTATATAGCTGCATTTTATCTATTTAAACAGTGTTGTTTTGCCCTGAATAACTCACATTGTTGGTGGGCCGTCAATGATACAAAAACAAAACGAATCCACACTGTATACTGTATAATACTGATTTACCTAAAAAAATATATTTTAGGGGCGCATGTTCCTATCACCTGGACAAAACTTGCAACGTCGGCTGCCGTGGGAGACAAACAAATAACGCTTCAACACCAAGTCACATGGCAAAAAGGTGACACTATAGTGATAACAACGACGGGTGGTATCAATTCACAGTATGAAAGCGAGACAGCCACCATAACATCGATTGCCATGAACAGGACCATTACATTGAATAGCTCACTGACAAACCAACACAAGGGCATTTCCGAATTCGTTGATGGTCGAGAACTTCATTTTTCCGCGGAGGTTGGCTTACTGACTCGTAACATCGTTATAAGGGGATTTAAGGACTCTTCGCAAGAGACAGAGCAGGTCACAGCTTGTCCAGATGGCTTTGATACAGGTATTGTTTTAATGCGATATATCAATAAGGGCAACATGTATGTTGTGCATGACCCATAGTAATCACGGTGCATGTCTGTCCGTCAATACATTTTTCTACAAATTATCGCATACTCAAGAAGTCTTAATATTTCTTAAATGTCACAGGTGATGAACTGTAATAAATGTATGTAAGTTCGCAATAACTGTCGAACAGGCCCCCCCGGTCAAGGTCGCTATTACTGAAATTGAAATTTGCCAACTGCGATTTTGACTGGTTGAGAACTTTCGATCTATATTTAGTGTTCTTGCCGGATACATATGTGTTTACCTATAGTAAATTAATCATAAATTCTAAACTGATCACTTTGACTTCTTGGCGGGCACGGCTGGCACCTCCTTACCTGTCGATGTTCTATTTTTTATCGATTGCAGATATCAATAAATGTTGCGAAGTTATTGTAAATATTCCATCGCTACGATACAAAAAAAAAGAATGAACTTTTGTATGGAAAATGCAACTTTTTATAGATGATCACGAAAATAAAAAAAA